GGGCCAGGAGGAGGGGATGCCTCTGATCGTTAAATCCTGAGTAGACCAAGTGTCTCTCTCCCCACTGTCTTTTCCCCTTGTCCTCTGGCTTGATTTCCTGGGCTCCTCGCCTGAGAGGTGGTGATGTATATTGGCTATGACTTTGGGCTCTAGTATCAGGCAGTTTCGGTTCAAGTCCTTCCTCTGCTACCTTCTGGCCCTGTGACTTTGGGCAAGCTCCTTCACTGTGCACTTTGGTTTCCCTAACTGTAAAATGGGAGGATAATACTGGCATCTACTTCTTGGGTATCATGAGAATTCAATACGAACAAATGCCCTTTATTAGAACAGTGACCGGTACAGTGTGAGCCCTGATGGCAACGACGGTGGTGGTGATTTTGATGGAAATGATGATGATGATGATGAAAATTGAGAAAGTGATGGTGATGATGGTCATAATTTTAATGATGACGGCGGTGATGGTGATGATGGTGGGTGGAGATAGTGATGGTGAACTTGGCAAAAATTATGGTGGCAACAGAGAAGGTGATGGTGACGATGATGGTAGTTGTGGTGGTGATCACAGTGATGGGGATGATTTTGGTGAAAATGAATATGACGGTGATGATGATATGATGATGATGATGATGAATTTGGAGAAAATGGTGATGATGGTAGAGCAGGTGATGGTGACGCTGCTGACGGCGATGATAACCGATGGTGACAGTGGTGCTGATGGTAGCAGAGCTGGGGATGATGAAAAGGATGGGGTGATGCAATTCCTGGCCCACAGGAAGGGGGAGAACAAGCAGAGAGAAAGGAGGTATGAAACAGGTGCTGATCAGTGACCTTTCACCTGCCCCACCCAGCAAGGCCCAGCTGCTCATAGCCCACCACCCCTAGCCAGCCTAGGAGAATGCAGGGACCTTGCTTCTTTCCAGCCTGACACTGACCGGGCATTAGTCTGGGCTCCGATCTGGCCATAGCCTCTTGGCCCCATCTAGGCCTCTGGGGAGTGTCCACAGGTCCCAATGGACAGAGCAAGCCATGCCTCTCCTGCCTCAAGTGACTTGTCAGCAGGTGACCATGGTGTCCAGAGTGGCAGGCATAGCGCTGTGCATGGGCCTTGGGCAGGGGTCTTAAGGCTGTGGCCCTTCCCTCTAGACTCTGAGGAGGGTCACGGTAGGGCTGTGGAACTCTGGCAGGCTCCGCAAGAGCAGACGGTTACGTGGCTCGGAGGGTCAGGTTGACACAGTGCTTCCGAGTTTGTCATCAGATCACCTCCAATCCTTTCCACCACTGACAAGCCAGTGGGTCTTGGCTGTTTCTTAATCCCTGAGTCTCAGCTTTGTCACCGTCCTGACGCATGGAAAAATAATGGTATCTACTTGGTAATAGCCATTTTTGTAATAATCCTATGAATTAGGAGCTCAGCAAAGTGCCTGGCATCTAGGAGTCACTTGGCAGATGTGGCTTTTGTTGTCTCCGATGGGCTGCACAGATCCTGGCCAGGGCCAGACCCTGTGTGCTCATGGGCTGGGCCAGGGGCCGGGCTGGGAACTCCTGCTGCTGGGCCTCGTGACAGGCGGACTGGGCTGGCAGTCTGGGCTCAGACGTCCTACCTCCCTGTCCCTTCCCTGTGCCAGGCGGCTGGCCCTCAGTTGCCCCCATCTCCCAGCCTCCCCCTGTGCCCTCTCCACAGGCTGGTGAGGGCTCTGACGTGTGAAATAAAAAGGGATTTTAATTACCTCTCAGCAAAACAGCAATTAGAGAGAATCACAGCACAACAGCAGTCCCTCCCCGACGCCCTCCCCCTGCCACGTTCGCCTTCACCCCTTTTTCTCCAGCCCCCCCAAGCTCTGAGGCTGGATGGAATAGGAAGTCTTCCAATTCAGCTCAGACCCCCTGTGCCCCAGGGGTGGGGTGGGGAAGCCAAAGGACGGGAGGGTGTCTGTGCTGGGGGCGGGGCAGGGGTGCAAAGGGGCGCTCAGGTGGGGCCTCCCTGTGCCTCCATACCCTGCAGGCAGCTGGTACCCACCTCTCTGGGGTCCGTGTGGGCCCCCCAGGGCTATGCACCCACTGCGTGTGCCCTGGTACACTCCCGTCCCTGTGTGTGTGCATGGCTAGCACGTGTGAACACCCGTGTGTGCATGCAAGCATGTCAGCAACCTGGGGCAGTGCAACCCCTAGGATGAGCCTGCCACACTGGGAAACAGCACGGTTTCCAACAGGCTTTTAAAATAATTGCATGTGACCCTGATCTGTAGCTCTCTGTCCTCTGTCTGCTGGCCGCCCCCGTCCCCTGCCCGCCTTGGCAGGGGTCACTTCTCTGTCCATCTGCAGAGCCTGGGGCACCTGTGCCGCATTTGGGGAGGGGGCCAGAGGGGGCGGGGCGGGGTGTCCCCACAGGTGGCCTGAGGCTGGGGGAGGTGGTGGGTGGCTGATTGAAGCGGTAATTGCAGGCAGCAGGCCCTAGCTGATGCATGTTATGATTAAGCCCCATTACTGAGGCGCTCAAGCACGCGGGTGGGGCGGGCGGCAGGCGGCGGGAGGAGGCCGACTGTGTGCCGGCCTGCCCTGGGACTGACTGACGGTCTTTCTCATGGGGGGGCGGGGGCAGGCGGGGGCCACTGCCACCTCCATGGTCCCCTCCCCCTCCAGCGCTGTAGCCTGCCCAGCCAAGACAGGAGAGCCAGAGCCTCAAGGTAGGAAAGGCATCCCCCAAACACACATGCCCACCCCTGGGCAAAGGTCTGAAAGCCCCTGTTCGGTTCTCTCAGGGGCCCAGCAGGCTTGGGAGGAGTGATCTCCTGGCCATTAATCCTGGGGTTCCAGTGGCTCTGTCAGGGGCCCCCTGGTAACCATAAGCCCCCAGCCTCAGTGCCTGGCAACATCCTGTCCTTGGGTTGCAGAAGCCAGAACGGCTGCATTTGGACGGCTGACATCAGGGACCCAGGTCCACCCCATTTCACTGGGGGCCACAGGTGCTGATCAGGGACCCCTCATGCCCACAGGGATGAGGATAGACCCATCCCCTGCACTGTGGGTCCTGAAGTCTGGACTACTCCATGGAAGATGGACCTCATCCCCCTTCCTTTACAGAGGCCCAGAGAGGTTATACGACTTTTCCAAAAACACACAGTAGGGCCTGGGTCAGAGTGTTAACCTAGTGTTCCAGCTTGGACACTCACAAGCTGTGTGACTTTGTGAAAATCACTTAACCTCTCAGGGCCTCAGTTGCTGACTCTATAAAATGGTGATACTAGTAGCACCTACTCCTAGAATCCTGAGGATTAAAGGAGATAAGATAACTTAGCACTTCAAGCCCAGGACGTGGCCCAGGAGTCAGCTGCTAATATTCTCACACAAACTCTACTCTTTCACCCGTATCTTCTGCGGTGGGCAAAATCCTAAGATGCCCCCAGGATTCCTGGACCCTGGTGTACACGCATGCTTCTCCCTGTTATTCAAGCCAACAGAAATCTAGGTACTATTATGAAGGGGTTTTGCAGACGGAATTAAGATTCCAAATCAGTTGACCTTAAGATAGGGAGATTATCAGACCTAATTACTTAGGCCCTTCAGAAGCAGTTTCTCTGGCTGGTGGCTGAAAGGTAGACAGATTCCAAGCATGAGAAGAATTCAATGTGGGAGCGATTTTCCACTGATGACTTCGGAGTCGGAGGGGTCACAAGGCAAGGGACGCAGCGGCCTCTCCAAGCTGAGAGCAGCCCCTGGTTGATAGCCAGCAAAGAAGGGACACCTTGATTCTCCACCTGAAGGAACGGAATTCTGCCACCACCAGTGAGCTGGGAAGAGAAACCTAAGCGCCCCCCCCCCCC